TTTTTTTTTTTTTTTTTTTTTTTTTTTTTTTTTAAATTGATGTCCGCACTGCGAGAACACTAATTTTCCATTCATTCTTTCTTTGATTACAAACATACAGCGAACTGCCGATGCTGTGTTTTGTGTTGTTTCAGTCGTATGTAAGAGGTTATTCCGCTTAAGAAGCGAGGAGGACCGGGGGGAACTTAGATGTTCGTCCTTTATTTCTTCACGTTCAGCAGTTGAAAGAGAGTAGTAGTGTCTCTTTTTTTTTCTCGCTAGTCTCTGTGATACCTTTTCTTCAAAATGGGGCTCATTTGTTACTTGTTTAATTTGTTATTTTATAGATGGTAGGAGCTGTTCGATTGAGAACTAAAAACCGAGAAAAACGATACTATTTTTTTAAGGGAACCACCAATTCCTTTTTTGTTTTTTTCTTTTTTGTTTAGCTCCTTGATCAAATAACTTTTTTTGTTTAAGAAGTAACAAATTAAATACGGAATAGGTTGAATATAATTACCATTGTTATTATTATTATCATTATTATTATCGTTTCGCTTACAAAAAGTTATTAGCCATAAGCGGAATAGTATTTGCTTACATACCAGTTCATTTGCTTCTTTTATTTTCAATTTGGTTTGAGCACTGACAGGTGTTTTTGTTTGAGGTTATTCCAACCAATTTATTGTTACTATTATCGTTATATTATTATATATTATTTTTACTATTATATTTATTATAATTATTTGCATCATTATTATTATTTGTATTATTATTACTATTATGATCATGATTATTACTACTGTCACTATTATTTTCATTATTATTATTATTATTATATTATCACCACATTTATGGTTATGATCATTATTATTGTCTATCCCCTGTTGGTAATTTCTGTTTGCTCCTTTCCGTATGTTTGATGTATCAAAAAAGAAGTATGATTGTCATAGTCACTGTCGTCGTTATCATCGTCGTCTTCATCACCATCATTATCGTCTTCGCATATATATATGTATACATATTTTTGTTTTGTTTCTTTGATACGTAAGAAGAGAAAAGAGTTTTTTAGTCGTAATTTGCAAGTAAGTGTATTCTTTCAAGTAATTTATTCCGATATGATTTCCATTTTTTCATATCTTTCCTCGTTGTTTCTTATCCTC